TTCCTATAAAATTATTAGGATTAATACCTTTTTTAAATACCTTGTGTAAAGATTAGTTCCTTTAAAATTATAAAGAATAATGTGTAGCTTTTACCAAAAAGTACGCAAGGATTTTTTAGAAGGGGGCACTATTGTTTTGTCTACTCATTGATTTAATGTGTTTTTAAAAATCCTAATAACGATGTATCTTACTTTCAGGAAACATTTTCTTAGCGTGCACCAAGGACGAAGGATACTGTATTATGACCACCCATCCATCATCAGCATCACTCAGTTTTGACATATCATTGAAATCTTATGCCAACGTCGTCATCATCTGTGACGTTTCATTAACCCACCTCCGCCCCCACTCCTCGCACCGCCCATCAATCTGGGGGTACTGATGGACTGGGGAACGGAGTGGGAGGAATGTGTTAATATCAACAAGCGAAAACTGTGCGAACGCAATCTACCGATTTCCGCTTAACCAAGCCAAACATTGCATTTTTGATTAGACACCAGGCCGACGAGCCCCCAGGCTGGTCAAATCCCAAGAACGAGGATATAGCCACAGCCTTCCAAGGGAATGTTTGCAGGGGTGGCTTTTTGATGTGGTCCGGGGGATTTACGGGCGGGATTCCCGGGTGTGACGCGGGCAATTGATTGTAACTCTACTTTTATTGGTGTTTTGCAATCACTTCTCCCAGTCATATTTGTTTTTTTTTTTTAGAGTGAAAGAGCCCTTAAAATCAATAACTGCTTATAGCGGTTATCTAATTATAGGGTCAAATATGTTCAATTTAAAAAAGACATTGTATCCAGAAGTGCAATTTTTGATTAAACATTAGATAATACATATAAGAAATTATTAAAAACAGTTGTCCATTGGATCAATTCTTCTATTACTTATTGCATTCCTTACATTTTATGATTATAAGTAGTAATAAGGTCGAAACATTGGGTACTTCATGGACCTTGTTATTTCAGAGTTTGCATTAGTTGAGTTGAGCGCATTCAGTGAACACATCAGAAGCAAATTTGGTTTCTGGATTGAACATTCCGTTTATTTCCTCCACGCTTTGGGTTTCCATCTATTTTTTTTCTTTAACTTTAGGTTTTCCCAATCGAAATATTATTTTCGCATCATATCGATCCCAAGCCCAACCCTCGTCTTCATCAATTTGCCTAAAGCATATTACATTCGAATTATAAACTCACATATCATTCTTCGATAAGGGGGATGATGAGGATTTCTGTCACCTTCGCATAACTTGAAAAGTTTTTCTTGAAAATTATGCAAAAATGTGAAAAATGTTGGTTCCGTTCCTTGGGGATATTTTTCAGTTCACTGAATTGTTGTTTGCGATGCCAAAAAAAGTGATTTTCAGCGAGAAGGGTTGCCAGGATTTTTTTTGTGAGCTGCTTCTTTGATAACCTGATGGTGATATGACAATCCACTCGAACTCCCCCGCACGTGTCGCAATTCGAATTTAAATAAGTTCGATGAGCAGCAAAGTTCACAAACAGTTCGGGAATGGCTTCCCCACTTCGGCTCTTAATGATGAAATTTCAATAAATGTCATTTGGTCTCGCAAAGTGTCAACATGGCACCTACCCGCCCCATTTTCGTCCTTTTGAAGGGGTGCAACAGCTGTCAGCGCCGCGCTCAATGCGTTAATAATGACAGTTTTCCCAATATTTCATTTTTTTATTTTGTGAGTCTAACTAGCCGGGAAATCGAGGGAGAATGGAGCACAGGGCACATGGCTCTGTGCAGTTCTCGTTCTGCCTGTTAAATTTAATTACTTTTCCATTGCTCATACGCACTGTGTGTCCGTGCAAAGAACAGCATAGACCAGTGTTGCGTGTTTGAAATCAGGGATGAGTCCCACAATTGGCAATCGAAGGACTTTCTAAGGGAATAGTCGAAGTATTATATTTGAAATGAATAAAGGTGATGGACAAAGTTTCTAAAAACTGAGATACTTTTATAAATCCAAATATTCATGGGTAACATGGAAATAGTCCCTTTCCATGTTACTCATGAATATTTGGTAGACACTTCTGTACATATCTAAAGATCAATTTAAACAATCATATGAAGATATTTTTATTACATCTTTAGTTACAATATAGATTAAGTCTCAATAATAAAGTTTCTATTTAGTGCATGAATACTAAAACGATGAATAAATATTTAAAATAATGTATGTACTTAAAATGTGATTGTAAAATGGCATTGACTTTTTACATATTAGGCAGTATTTTGAATATAAATCTCAATATAATCTCTTATTCATCATTTGATAGTTACTTAAAATGTAAAATAATGAATATAAAATCAATTTGTATCTGTGTGTTTCTTTGAGTTTAATAATGTTTTAAAATATATTTTTAGTTAGATTCCGCGGATTGAAATATGTCTAAGCCGCCAGCTCTGAACAAATGCCCAAAGCTGCACTGAGTGCGAAGTTGTGATTGAAAATCGTTGAAATTTGCATGTTACACGAAGAAATTGCCAACTGCGTTGTCACACCCCTCACTGATTGCAAACGGCGACTCCTCGAACGGTCCCCGGTGGTCTGGGGCACCACGTCCTCATCATCATCAATAGTTGACTGTTTCATAGCCAGTTGGCGGCGTTTGTCACAATGGCATTTAATATTTGGACACTGGCACATCCCAGCGGTGTCCCTTCAGGAAATTGTTGGTCGTGACAAAATATTTGATCGGGTTTTTGTGCACATCCTGGTGGCTATATACGCCGATTTGAGGTTTAACTTGCGAGCAGTACAATCGTAAATGAAAATCAGTACATACATATGAACATATGTTCCTTACGCTTTCGCATACCTTTCAAATATCGTTAAAAAACATTTTTAATAGACAGTGGTACTTATATAAATTCGGAATATAATTGAAAACTATAATGTATAATTGAAATTGTTAATATTTGTATAGTAACTTCTAAAATTAATGAACAGCAATGCCCTCATTTATTTTAGTTTTTAATAGTTCAGATAACTATCATTTGTACACCTATAACATTTACATATTAATAAGTATTCAAAGCAAAGCTTTCATTTATGTGTACTAGGTTTTCAGTAATATCTTAACTTAGTTCATGTAATAATCATTTACACACCATATTTAGTATAGTAAAGTTAAATTTTTCGGTACTTCAAAAGGTTTTCTTTTTTCAATATCTCGTTTGAATTTTCCGCTTGAAAAAAAATGGTTGGAGATCTATAAAATATAATTACAGTGATTTTATACACTTTTTATAAATCTTTCTAAAAATGGACTTGTAGGTTGTTTTGTTTCTTAGCTGGACACATCTTTTGTTCCATGCATATTATGTCCAATGCATCTCCACCAACGCATTTTAAGGACAAGTTTTGAAATGTTGTTTTTATCCCGGACTCGTCGTACGTTCAAGAGGCCAAAACCAAAATTGGTACCTGGCCCTCCACCAACAGCTGCACAGCGATTATTCAATTATTTGCATGAAAGCCAAGTTTATGTCGAATGGGAATTGGAGGTCGGTCCGCTCAATGACTTCCATAAACTATTTTTTGTAATCCGAACTTCTCTGGTTAATCTATTTATACGACGCTCCAACTCACAAAGACGTCGATCGAACGACGATAGCGGTTTATTCCGGTATTTGGCCAGAATTATTCGCTTCCTACGCGTTGCAATCTGAAACAAGTAGTGAAAGGCTTGTCTCATATAATGTCCAGTTAACATACCATCTTTTTTGTATATTTAATCCTAGCTGCCATTATTCCTTCGTATAACAAAATTGTCAAAAAAGTAAGCCAACAAAATTGGATTCTCACTGTGCACGTTGTTCAACACTGCTGCTAGTGATGCATTTTCGAAACTATCGATAGTTTGTCAGAGATGTGATGGAATCAAGTTTAAATCCCTTTTTCTTTACATTTAATGTCTTAAAAATAAATTAAGATCTTTTGTGTTTTCGAACTGAAAGCATTAAATTTTCCTTAACAAAGGGAATCCACTATTAGCAACTAAATATGAATAAATGAATTTAATTTAGAACGAAATAAAATTAATTTTTAGCATTTCTACATTAAAAAAGCCAAGGAATTAAAATTTAATATATTAGAAACCGATTTTTGTAGTTCACTTTGCGCAATTTAAGGACTCCGGAATTTAATGCATCATTATCCATTATGTGACCAAACTTGGCAACAGATTTCCATAATGGCTATTTCATTGGTCAGTCAGCGCCAGATCCCAGGCCATCCTTTATGGCCATAAACCATTCCGCCTACTCTTCACGTTTTACTTGCGGTTTTCGGGCGAATTTCGAAGCCCTTCTGCGCCCAACTGCGGACTTCCACTTCCGGCTGTTGAGTCGTGTGTGAAATATTAAAATTCAATTAAAATGGCGTTAATTCCAGCAGTAGCCCAGCGGCAGAGAACGAATGTCCGATGCCTGCGTCTGTCATAATTGTCAACTCTTGGGAGCCTGATCCGCAGGACAAGCAGCATGTCCTTTGGCATAATGATGCTCATCAACGGACAGGTTGCCATCACGTCCGGAAGTCCCTCCGTCCGGCTGTTTTGTGTCCACATCTCAATGGCATCAATGGCCGCCGCTGATTTCCTCTTCACAACTCCCCTTTTTTCTGACTTCTCTCCCGTTTTTGTTCTGCCCGCATGCAAATTGCACTTCAGACGTCCATTTATCATCGACGCATCAGCACCAGAATCGGAATCAGCAGTCAGCCAGAGTCCAGTCAACGATAATGGTTAATTAATAAATATTTCCCTCGAGCCGGGTTCGATTGAGATACAAAAAAGAACCCTTTTGATATAGAAATTGTATGGAACTGGCTTTTGCCTCGTTCATTCAAGTTGGCCTAGGCCCTTGGACCCGTTTTCATTTGGCGTCGAACTGTTAAGCCATTGACCCACTCGTACAAACTGGTCAACTGTTGAGTCTAGACGGGACTGGGGATACTTTAGGATGGAAAAAAAACAAGATGGTATGGGTAGACATTTTTTTGGCCTACAGATCGTAGAACAGACATAATATAATTTCGGAAAAACATAAAAACAGACCTGTATACAGTAAAAATATATAGCTACATGTACATTTACAGTTTTTTACAGTTTTAAAATTAATTCCTAATCCTTTCCACCTGAGCTCTAAATTCGCAGCACAAGGATGTTGGTCGCCGCACGTTATTTTCATCGAATGCTTCAAAAATGATAACCGACTTATAGCGACCATGAAGAGGGGGACCAATGATGTTGTCCGCCCGTAACTTCAAAAGGAATGGATTGTACACCAGAACGGTCTAAAAATACATACCATCCTGAAAATAATAAAGACTTAGAAATTACCATGCTCACATCTTTGGTTATAAGACACTTTTCCTTAATCTCGTCCGCGTTCAAGAGGTTTTGGAACCACGATGTGTACCAGTAAGTGTTTTTGTCGAATATCGTAGAGCAAACGTCCCTCGTAACTACGTTAAATACAGTCGGCTCCCAAGTACCGCGATTATAATGGAAAATACTAATCCTGGCCTGAAAATGCAATGGACTTGAGCTCAGTTTGCTACTTTTCAGGAGAGTTAATTTACGGAAAGGCGATCGGTGCGCGGAAAATTCCATATGGTGGTGGCGTTCCCCGATACGTAAATGCCTTCGGGCACCACTTCGGCCCCCAAGTTGTCCACTTGGAAAGCTTCGTGCATGGGAATCGATCCGGGTGGGCCGTCCGTGCACTCCACAAATGTGTCCTCAGGGATCGCCATGTAGTCCGCTGCCCAAATTCCGGACACGCCGACGACGAGAAGCTGCAGAATTTTAAACATTTCTATTTGCGAGCACAGCGTTGATTCGACCTTATATAGCCAATGGTCATCGGGAAAGCCATTTACATTGTAAAGCCATGAGCATATCCCAGATGTTATCGTGCAAAGTACATGCACGCAAAACGAAAGAATTACAAATTAATGTAACTTTATAACGAGTTATTTTAATTTGGTATACGGTACTAACTCGCTACAGCGAAATGTTTATTAACTATAGAATATCAGTTATTAAAATGCGATGATTAGCCTCTAAGACATTAAAAATTATAGTAATTTTAGGATAGCAGAATTTGCTATATAAAAGAGTTCTTTTCAGTTATTAACCTGAAGCGCTTAAGAGGTGCTCAATGTGTTCCTAGTTAAATTCAGCACCACTTTTCATACAAATTAAGCGCTCATTAAGTTAAAGTTTAACCGTCAAAAAATTAAGAACAGCATTCAAAACATGACGAAAAAATCGGATCTATTTCCTCTCCACTTGTTATACCCGTTACTCGTAGAGTAAAAGGGTATACTAGATTCGTCGGAAAGTATGTAACAGGCAGAAGGAAGCGTTTCCGACCCCACAAAGTATATATATTCTTGATCAGGATCACTAGCCGAGTCGATCTAGCCATGTCCGTCTGTCCGTCTGTCCGTCTGTCTGTCCGGATGAACGCTGAGATCTCGGAAACTATGAGAGCTAGGCTATTGAGATTTGGCGAGCAGATTCCTGAGCTTCTTACGCAGCGCAAGTTTGTTTCAGTACAGTGCCACGCCCACTCTAACGCCCACAAACCGCCCAAAACTGTGGCTCCTACAGTTTTAGTGCTAGAGTAAAAATTTTAACTGAAATGTATTGTTCTTATCAATACCTATCGATTGACCCAAAAAAAAGTTTGCCACGCCCACTTTTACGCCCACAAACCGCGAAAACCTGTGACGCCCACAATTTTCATGCTAGATAAAAAATTTTAACTGAAATGTATTGGTCTCGTCAATACCTATCGATTGATCCAAAAAAAAATTTGCCACACCCACTCTAACGCCCATAACGCTTAAATCTGTATACCGCCGGTAGGTGGCGCATTTTAATCTCGCTTTGCTGCTTGCATATCTCCATTTAGCTGAGTAACGGGTATCTGATAGTCGAGGTACTCGACTATAGCGTTCTTCCTTGTTTTTTAATCTAACTGATTGATATTAATAATTATATATATCTTGAAATTTAAGCTTAACAATGGTTAACATATCACTTTGTCGTTATAGGGATTATTTATTTTGAACTTATCTACTCGAACTTTTTTCCTGCGATGAATGTCCCTCAGTAATATTAAGTGGTGAGCACATTACTAAGCCTTGTAATTATTATTTATTTCTTAACCGGAATTTTAAGGGAACCCACCAACCTACGCTATCAACTCGATCCCCTTCGTTAAGATCAATGAAAGTTACTATCACTTTGGACAGGAAAAGTTAAATTGGTACAGGGGCTACGAGTATTGTCGCAAGCTGGGTTCCGATCTGGTGACCTTGGGAAGTAGAAGAGAAAGTAATAAATGTTTAGAACTAATTTTCATTATTTCGAATTTATCATTATTTCGAATTTTTCACCTATAATATTGTACCAAAAATATTTTACCATCAATATTAGCGACTGGAACTACATATATAATATGTTGAAGCGTTCATAGTTAAGTTTTTTTTTTGAAGTTTGTGGGCTCTGCTTATAAGTCTTTTATGAATGGTCTAAATCGAATAATTTTTTGGCATGTGGGTTGGTATTGATAATACAAACAAAATCCAATTTACATTCCGATGAAACAAACTTACACTGCGCAGGAAACCGAAGAATCTGCATGCTTAATCCCAATACCCTTTTACTCTTCGCTTAACGGGTATACAAAAAAACCTTATAACTGCTTTAACTGTTGGCTACTAAAATCTCAAATTTTCAATATTGCACAAGATGTTCAAGATGCCTACATAAAAAACATCGCGCATCATTAACAACCCGTTTAGTGTGTAGGGACACTAAGTATCCTATACCCTTAACTATCGAAATCCATTGCGTTGCAATGCAAAGACGTACGCCATTTAAGGTTCGTACTCTAACCGAATTCGATTAACAATAAATTTATAAAAAATGAAGTACATTTAAGCCTGATTTTCTAAAAGCCTTAAATGGTATTTTTAGGACTGGCTTAGATTTTCAATCAGTTTATTGTCAGTTGCGCGGAGTAATTTACAGATTTTAAAAATATTTCCGCCCTTTTTTATAGATATCTTCTGTGGGTCAACAAAGTAAGTACACTCTTTAAGTTATTTTAATTTCGGTACACAGAGCTGCACGTTCCATAAAAATGTTATCTGAACTTGAAAATGACATTTACAGATGTATTGCCATTGATTATTTGGCTCACATGACTCATGTTGTTTACCTCAGTTTAGATTTCTCGGCTTTCGACGTCCCCAAAAAATCGCAAAGCATCCCAGCACTTCACCCTCGTATTTTCTCCCAATTTTATTCAGCTCGAGGGCTTCAGGCTTTAAGGATTTCCTATTGCAGGGCCCAAATCGCGTTCAATATTAGTTGTATTTTGTGTGCCTAAGCAGCCCTTCAAGTACTCACCGTCTGTTTGATTAGGCATTCCGGCTGCCGAATAAATACCAATAAACGAGGAAGCAGAAGGGGATTCCAGGTGTCAACTGTACACAACAACACCCACTTGAACTGTTCGGGGGGCAATGCGGAAAGGGAAAGGGGATTCCCCGACTCGAGTCAATATTTGATGTCGTAGCTGAAAGTTTCACTAACAACTTTTTGGGTTCCTTTCCGTGCTCCCCTTTTTGCCGTGTCTGTCTCCTTTGTCGGAGGTCAAGTTATTGGCTCGTGTTTGTTCAATTTTTAAATTTTATTTCCACATAGTTTTCGGAGTGGAAGTTGAGTTTCGCAACGAAACCTCCTGTGGAACGCCTCATTGATTGCCCATTTAGAACCGCAAAATTTAATTTATCTGCCATCAGTTGATGTTCTTGCGGTTGCCAATACACGGCACTGCCCAAATGATATCGAAAGAAGGTTCCACACATAATATATATTTATATGTGTACGTATCTAAAGCCCCACCCAGGATTGAGGCCCTTTGTTTGGTGTAACCCATGTCAAAAATTGTACAACAGTTCGGTTTTTTTTTGCTTGTTGCTGGTTTTCTGATAACATTTGGCTGGGTAGTCATGTGTGATTGTCTGAGTGAGTGTGTGTTTAAGATATCATCTGTCTCTGACGATACCAAGCAGTCCCCAAAGACCCCGGAACTCCGGAACCCCGGAGTCCCGGAACCCAGCAACCGAGCCCCAAACCCAAATCCGACTCCAAGCCCCAGTCCGCAATCGAAGGACGTCAGGCACTTCCGTTGGCTGCCATTGCCACCTGCTGTTTGACACCTAAATTCGCTTATTGTTGCCTGCTTTGGATTTACTTTTATGAACTTGTCCGCTCATAGGGGAAATCTATACCTAGCACTCAGAAAAAAGTAGTAGTAATATGTCAACGTTAGTTTAACCAGTTAAACGCTCAGCATTATTATAAATTAACATTTAAATTAGGAGTATAAGGAAGTGTGTCTAGAAACTACAACTATCGAAGTTCAAAATGTTGCCTGTTCGAAGGGACATCTAATTTTATTTTATTTTAAACTAAACAATTGAAAACACATGATGTTTGGTTTAGGTAAATGATATCTATGCTCATTATAATGTAAAGAAAAAGTGATACTGTTGACAAGAGTCACCGATGTGTTTTTCACTCCTTTTTTAGATTTGTGGAAATTTTTTGTTTGAAACGTAAAAACATAACACACAAACATAAAAACTAAATCCCAATTGTATTACCTAACTCAGAAAGATTGGAACCTTAAAGAACAAACTAGTCTCAGTATTTAAGATAGCAGCACCGTTTCCGGAACAACAGGACTGTTATTATAGCTCAAAATATTTTTCCCAGTGAACCTTTGAGCTTGGCTGCTGAAATTTCAACACTTCATTCAATTCGCAATTCGTTTCAACAATTGAAATGCGATTAGCGGCAAGGTGCACACGGGGGAAATGAATGAGTGAGTGCGGCAGGAGGGGCAGGACGAAGGGTATTCGGATTCGGGAGCGGGTTTTGCGATGGCTACATTTTTGATTTATGTGAAATTGAGTTAAATTCATCCACACATGCCCACCCACCGCACACATCCTGCCCCAGGCATCTGTGCCGGTCGTCGGTTCTCATTGTAGCGAACGCGTCCTAATCAAGGCTATTCACTTGCCATAAATCAAATTAAATGGCTGTCACATATCGCCGGGCGCCAGTGGGCCTAAAGCGCCTCCTCAACCTAATCCTCCTCTTTGTCCTGGAGCTCCAGCTCCACTTCACACTCCCCTTCTCTTCCTTATTCTATAGAGGATGGTGTACCATTGTAGTTTGCGCTGTCAGCTAAGCATAATTAAAAGCGAGGAAAAGTGCGAGGAAATATGGACTTTGGATCAAGATTGGGATACTCGTATTAAAGGACAAGATGAGATTTTTTTGCCAGAAGGCTTTCCCTAATTGAGTTAAATTTTCGAAGAATTAGTCCTTTAATTTTCTGATTGATGAAGAACAAGTTTTATTTTAAATGTAAATAAATTAAAAATTAAAAAAGATCCTAATGTCAAATTTAAAAGTTAGAACCCAGGGAGTATTCTGACGCACTCATCTGTGTTGAAAATGTTCTTAAAAATATAACGAAATTTTTGAAAGTGAAAATGTTTTCATTGTTCTTGAATCAAGTTGAATTGGCGGTATTTACATTATATATCTCAACAACTAAACTAGTAGTCCAGTCAATACTGTATACTTATTAAAAAGTTGTTAAATAATCTCGTTATATTTTCTCTTTTCACGATTTCGCTGTAACCTTAAAAACATTGATGCCAAAATGTACTTACACGGGTTTTAAGAACGAATGTTCTTAATAACATTTTTCTCTGTTCAGGTAAATTATTAATG